AGAACTCAAGAGCCTGAGTTGTTGGCACAGGAGTATAGGTTTGGGCAGTGGGAGATCTGGGAGGGGGTTTAGCTGGAGAAGATTTATGAGAATCATCTGGGGGGGATTTAGGACTCCGTTGGGTCCCAGTGCATGGATGACCGGTCGGAGGAGGAGTTGAATGGTAAAGAGGGCCCCAGGGTCTCTCCCTGCAGCATATAGCCATAGGCCCCATGTGTGTCCTACATCCCACCCCATAGACTGTTTTTCTTTCTCAGTGAACCAAATTATGGGGGGGTTGCACCGTGGTTGGGTGCAGGGCCCCCCCGTACGTCCTCCAGTGGTCCCTCCCCATCCCAGGGTGGTAGATTCGGGGGCCTGTTGTAGGGTTACTAGATCCCCAGTTGATGACCCTTTCCACCAGTATGTGCTGGTGGTCTCACAGCCCCAGTCGGCGCAATAATAATCCCCAGGTCCCCCATGTTTGTTCTTAACTTGTCTGCTGCGTCTGTGGCCTGGACAAACATAGATGGCGAGGCTTTGCATGTGTGACCTGGGGCCGGGGTCTCGGCAGCCAAAGGGAGGAAAGGGGGTCTGGTCATGAGGTTCCCATTCTCCTTCAAAGATGTCACAGAGGTCAACCCAAAGGTCGGGGTACCAAGTGTTGGGAGAGGCTGTCTTGGAGGCAGAGTTGACGACTGTCCCCGTGGCGGCCAAATTAAGTTTTGGGGCATATGGGGATTTATGTTACTTGCAGCAAAGGTGCCATCAGCCAATAAGCAGTTCAATGTCAACAATAGAGAGGTTAGTAGGAAGGGTCTCGTCGGATGCGGAGCCTGAATGGATTTGAAGGGTGAGGGGATGCCTTCCAGGTGTCTCCCTTGTAATCCTCTGGGACTGCAAATGGGTCGGCAGGTTTTGTGTGGGAGTAGTGTACCCAAGCCGCGACGCCGTCCACTTTGAGTGCAGTGGGAGTCATCAAGAGGATCACGAAGGGGCCCTTCATCTTGGCTCGAGATTTTTCCGTTGGTGTCTGCGGATGAAGACCCAGTCACCCGGTTTAAACCTGTGGGGTTGTGGGGGGACAGCAGCTTCAATATGGCTCTGCGTTGTGGCCAGACCCGTTGGTGGGTTAGCAACCGCTGGAGTGAGTCCGGTTGGTCTTGGTCTCCCAAGGTCGATACTAGGTCAGATTGAAGGCTAGGTATCATAGGAGGGGGTTTCCGTACATGATTTCAAAGGGTGTCAAACCCATCTGATATGGAGGGTTTCTTAGTCTAAAAAGGGCAAAGGGGAGGAGAGCCACCCAGTCTGTGCCAGTCTCTAAAGCTAATTTGGTTAAGGTCTCTTTTAGAGTTCTATTCATTCTTTCTACCTGTCCTGAACTCTGGGGTCTATAAGCACAATGTAGTTTCCAATTGGCCCCCAGTGCAGTGGCTATTCCCTGGCTTACCTGAGAGACAAAGGCTGGTCCATTATCTGACCCCATTGTAGTTGGGAAACCATACCTGGGCAGGATCTCTTCCATTAGCTTCTTGGCTACCACGTGGGTAGTCTCATGCTTGGCTGGGTAGGCCTCAGTCCATCCAGAGAAGGTGTCTATGAATACTAGTAAATATTTATATCCAAATTTTCCCTGTTTGATCTCAGTGAAATCAGTCTCCCAATACGTACCTGGTCGTGTCCCTCTGCTCCGGGATCCTGGGTTAGCATGGGATGGAGCTGAGTTGGTTAATTGGCAGGCATGACAATGCCTAACAATTTTTTCAATGGCTGGATTTCCTTCCTGAATTTTAACTTTGGCCCCTCTTAGTAAGTCTTGCATCCTTCGGGTGCCCATGTGTGATGCTTGATGTATTTTCTTGAGCAATCTTACGCCTAATAAGTAATTTGAATTTTCACTGAACCGGTGTAGGTGTGGCTCAAATGCTCTGAGGCAGGATAACAGAGCTGACTTAGAGAAATCTGCTTGACTCTAAAGCTTAGAACTTTAGGGATTTTTTCTCTAGCAGTATTCAGATAGAAAAAGTTGGGTGAAGTGGCACTTTCCAAGGGGACGTTCCTGAAATTAAAATTTCAGGGGATCCCAGTGGCTCCCAGTCACAAGACCTTCCTGCATATTTAAGAGGCTGGCGGCCGTCCTAATGACTTTTTTAGCTCGCCAATGTGTCACCAGGTTTGAATATTAAAAGAATATCTAGATAGAGTCCTTTTGTCCACACCTGTATAGGCATTGGGGGTCTGCTTAGGAAATCAGAGAGAACTTTGGTCAACACCAGGGGGTAGCCCTGGCCAGAAGACCTCAGTTGCTTCTCTGACCTTAGCAGTCCCTCGCAAGAACTTTAGACCGGAAAAGAAAATGAGGAAATTTAGAAGAGATGAAGAGATTAGATTACCCTCCTGAAGGGGAGGAGGGATACTCACGGATCCTTTGTGTTTCTGTGGGGCACCAGCTCCTAGCTGGCACGAAGTTCAGAGGCTAAGCTCCACGTTGTGAGAGGGTCCCACGAGGTTCAGGGGGGTCCCACGCTGTGAGAGGGTCCCACAAGAGGTTCAGGGGCTCCACGTTGTGGCACCAGATATAGGCGTGGACGTGCTGGGCTCTCAGGGTCCCAGCGTGCACTCCTGGGCAGTAAAAGCTCCTCTTCTACTGAGGTCTACTCAGTCGATCCCGTCCCTATTTCACCCATATACCTTCCTCAGGATGTGAGGTCCACTGGCCACTTGGACCACACGGGAAGCGTACGAGGAACGGCGAAAGCCAGGGTGTCCGTGAGTCGTGACAGAGGAATAGCGCCCCCCGGGCGCTATTGTTACAGCTCAAGACAAGTGACTCAGCTCAGATCTCAGTGATTCAGCTCCAGCTCCTTTATTCAGTGACTTAGCTCAGCTCCCAGTCTCGGTGATCCAGCTCCCAGTCTGAGTGAGGTGATCCAGGCTCCGAGTCTGAGTGAGGTGATCCAGGCTCCAACTTTATTGGGGTAAAACTAGGACTATTTATAGTGTAGAGACAGTAGAAGAAATCTTAGCTGATTGGTACTTTTAGGATGCCTCATTTACATAGGGCGGTGGGCTTCTATCAGGCTATCAGACAACA